TTCACATAATAGCATTGTTCACACGTCCGCACAATAGATTTCAATCCACACACACACACACACACATATATATATATATATATATATATATATATATATATATATATATAATTATTTATTTTTGAACTTCAAAAATCTTTTACTTTATCAAACTTTTCTAAACAAAAGACAAATCGCACTAGATGTATATTGAAAGTTTAAGTATCATACGTAGTATTTGATTTTAAAGCTTTCAATGAGATTTTAGTAATGATATATTTTAGAGAAATTAAGTACTCTAGCCATAATATAATGTGTATTTGAAAAAATAATTAATTTTTTTTTTAACAAAAATAATCACTTGGTCTGAAATTTCCAAACAAAAAAGAACACTTTTTCTATATACATCCCAGGTTTCGGATTTAGGAAAAAAAACTTCGGAATTTCAAAAACAAGTCCAAAGAACTCGGAGAAAATTATGGATCCACGTTTGTAATAAACTACCCTTCAGAAGGTGCTAGTAAAGAATGTTCCTTTGTGGGCAGTATTTTATCTTTGGGGTTGGCTAAATGGACACCCCATTTTACCATTTAGACACCCCATATAATTTTTAAGATTTTTTTATTAGTTAAAATTACATTGTTTTTTGAAAAAGATGATTAAAAATAGTTACCTATTGGTTGACTTTTGATAAAGATGTGTATAGGGTGTCTAAAGGGTGTCTTAATAGCAGCACGCGTTGACTTTTGATAAAAATAGTTATATTAATTGTGCCCGTTTTCTTCCATTTTTTTTGGAATGACAGGCATAAGATAAAATAAAATAAAGCTAGCCAGGGGATAGGAGGTACACAATGTCCGAAACACATAGACAAAACAACACAAACAACAAGGAAAGGGAAAGAAAATAAAACAGAAAAATAACTACATCCTGCAATAGCACTCCAGGATTGGGTCGCAGCACCACTCGACCCAACGTAAATTTCGACCTTTCCGATTTGGTTCACTGATCCATAGATGTGAATGTGCTTGTACCTCGTATGCCAGTACCGATCTTGATAGGGGGCTTGATTTCGGGCCGTGAGCCTTGCTATTTCTAAATCTCCAGATTATCCATAAGAAAACCAACATTATAGCCTCTTAAACCACCTTTAGCCTGTGATGTCCTCCAAGCGAGTCTTTACAGTCTAACAACTCCCTGCAGGATTTAGGAGAGTTTCCAAGTAACCGCCACCAACTGCAAACCTGTGACCAAGCTTCCTTTGCGACCGGGCATCCCACAAAGATGTGGTTTACTGTTTCTGGGGCTTCATTGGCACATCGGACACAAATCTGAAGAACTGATGCCAAGCTTACAAAGATTCTCCATGCATGGAAGTCTACCTTGGCATACTCGCCAAGCTAGGATGTTTATCTTCCCAGGCATAAGTGGGTTCCATATCCATATGTCATTACTATGAGGCAAGACCAGATTATCAATGTGAGTCCGCAAAGAGGAAACAGAATATTCCCCCGAGGGGTCAAGAGACCAAGACCATTTGTATGAGCCATCTACATTTAATGAGTTTTGGAAGTACGATAAAAATGGCACCTGATCCTTCTCTAACGATGATGGCAAGCATGCTATTGAACCCCAACAGCTACTTCTTCTTTTTGCGGACATAGGGTGAGATACTCCACCATCGGATCCATGAATGGCTTTAATTACCAAAGCCCATATGCTTTCAGGCTGCTTCCCGAAATGCCACCACCATTTTCCCAATAAAGCAAGATTTTGTGCCTTTAAGCTGCCAACACCGAGCCCACCTCTTTCTTTGGCTGCGAGGATTCTGTCCCAAGCGACCCATGCCATTTTCTTTGATTCCATGCACCCAACCTAAAAAAACCTCATCTTGATTCTTTCAAGGCTTTTAAGAACCATTGCAGGGGCCTTATACAGTGAGAAGTAAAATGAGCCAAGGCTACTTAGAACAGCTTTGCATAGGGTCAATCTACCCCCAAACGACAAGGTAGAGGCTTTCCACCTAGATAGGTTTGCCTGGAACTTTTCAATGATGGGTTTCCAATGAGTTACTCGGGCCATCGAAGCACCAACTGGAAGACCTAAATATGTAAAAGGAAGAGAGCCAATCGAGCAGTTGAAACTACGAGCCACCAATTCCAGCTCACAATTTTGGATACCGAACCCATATAGTTTACTCTTTGACATATTGATCCTGAGCCCCGATGATAGTTCAAAACATCTTAAAATTCTGATTAGGTTTTTCGAGTTTTCTAATGACCATGACCCCATAAATATCACATCATCGGCGTACTGAAGGTGGGAGATTATCGGGCCACGGTGGGGGAGCTGTATACCATTAAAAACTCCCTTTTCTTTCGGCGATTCTAATGCAACATGTAATCCTTCCCTTGCAATAATGAACAGAAATGGGGATAGTGGATCCCCCTGCCGGACACCCCGTTCCATACCGAATTCTTTTGTTGCAGACCCATTAATAATGACCGAAATCCTTGCTGAAGCTAAACATCCTCGGATCCATGCTCGCCATTTAGCCCCAAATTCCAGTTGGTGCATGATTGAGTCTAGGAACTCCCAATTAAGACTATCAAAAGCTTTTTCAAAGTCCACTTTAAATGTGAACGCTTTCTTTTTTTTTTTCTTCTTTAACCAGCTAATGACTTCGTTAAGGATGAGAGGCCCATCCAGAATATTCCTATTTTTAATGAAAGTTGTTTATGTTTTGCTGACCACAAGATGTACCACCCTTTTCAACCGTTCAGCAAGGACCTTTGAAATTGTTTTATATAAACATCCGATTAGGCTGATAGGTCGGAAATCGTTAATCGTGATCGGGTCTTGAACCTTTGGAACGAGAGTGATAAAGGATGAATTACATCCTTTTTCTATGTGCCTAGTAGCTTCAAAATGCTTCACTGCAAGGTAGAAATCTTCACCAATCACCTCCCAATGTTTTTTTTAGAAAAGAGAAGGAGAATCCATCGGGGCCCGGGAGCCCTGTCCGACCCACACACCCAAATGGTTGATTTAATTTCATCGAGGGAGAAAGGTTCTTCCAGGAACTCGATCGCATAGGGGGGTAATTTCAGGAAATTTGGGCTGAGGAATTTAGGGCGTGATTTGATAGGCTCTGCAAATCTATCGGCGAAGTGTTTAACTATCCTCTCCTAGACGTCTACAGGATCAGTTAGCCAGAGACCATTTTCCTTAATATCATTTATCCGCTGGGATCTTTGGTGCTTATTAATCAGACTGTGGAAAAAGGCATTGTTCTCATCACCTTCTAGAGCCCATTTAGTTCTAGACTTTTGCTTTAGGTCCTCAATGCGCCCGGATTCAATTTCAATGATCTTTTGGTAAGCGTTCTGTTGACTTTTAAGTAGTTCGTTATTGACCAGCCCCTTCTCAGCCAAGAGGTCAATGTCGTTTATTTTGCTTGTGAGCTCAACCATCTCCCTTTTAGCTTTCCCATTAACCTCCTTTCTCCATGCCTTAATATGCTCCTTTAGGTTTTTTAGCTTACTAGCAACCAGGGAGAGGGGGGAGAGAAACAATTGATGCCTTGAGCAATTATTTATTGACCAACCACACCTTAAAATTCCCACAAATTCTGGGTCTTTGAGCCAAGAATTATAGAACCTGAATGGTGATGGACCAAAATCAAACTGAGAGGCAGATAAGATTATTGCACAGTGGTCTGAATGCACCCTAGGCAGGGTTGTTACATTTAGATTTGGCCATGATTCAATGGAGTTGAGGGAAACTAGAAATCTATCAAGTTTGTTGTGTTTGTTACCAGATGAATTCATGTATGTGAATCTACCCCCCCCCCCCCATTTTAATTTCTAATAAACCTAGAGAATGTATGAATTCATTAAAATGATAGGCACTTCTTTGACAAAACGCAGATCCCAGTCTTTCCTCCAGAGACCGAACGACATTGAAGTCTCCAAAGATGAATTAGCAATATTCCGAATCTGAGTTTACGAGGTCGACCAAGTTATTCCACAAATACCTTTTCCTTAGAGGCTCATGAGGGGCATACACATTTACAAAACAACAAGATTTTCTCTATCCCAGCCACACACCTTTGATTGCAAGAAAACCTTCTCCTTTGATTGACTCAGAGGCTTGAAAGAGAGAGGGGTCCCAAAAAGAGGCAATTCCACCAGAGAGCCCCTCTGGGTCAACAACCTCACACTGGAAGTTGGATGAACCCCAAATTTGTCTATCTAATTTATTTTTTATCTCCCTGGATTTTGTTTCCTGTAGCCCGACAAAAAAAAGAATGATTTTGGCATTTTGCATACGACTATCCCTGAGCCAATTCCTTTTTACTTCACACCCAATTCCATGAACGTTATTGGAGAGGATATTCATTGATCGATAATAGTCACTCCACGGGATTTAATCATCTGCCTAATTTGATCAGAGTGATTCCTTACCTGAAAGCCAACCGATTCTCCAACATCGATTTTCTTGGCAACCTCTATGGATGTGGCGTGCGAATCAGCCGGTTGAGTCTGAGGCCGAGACATGCTTCCTTGCAGATTTTGAGAGTCACAGGAGGTATGGGCTGGGGAGGGGGACAGCCGTATGGGGGAAGGGACATTACGTGTTTGGATAGGACTCAGAGGGGAAGGAATGTTGTTGCGATCAGAGAATAAATCGATGGGGCCAGATGGATTTGAGTGTGATGGAGCTCTATTTAGGTCTAAGGGGAAATTGGGCTGTGGAATTTTAATAACGGGAGGAGAACTGGCCCGCTTCTAAGTTGGCCCAAAGAGGAAAAGGATCCAGATCCGGAAACAACGTGACCTACACCCGAAGGCAGTGGCGGTTCGGCTTCTCTACGATTCTCCACGGGTTTAGACAATCGAGGAGTTCCCTTGGCTACCGAGCTGGAGATGAAGGCGTGCGACTTTTCCGCTTCCCCAACCTGATTCCACGCTTGCTTTCCTCGCTTGCTGAGACTCCGCCGGAGATCTTTCCGATGCTTGCTAAGACTTCGCCGAAGATATTCTCGGAGACTGTAAACTAGCTTCAGAGTGGTCCGGAACGTCACTATTGAGACTGCCATTATCACCAGTGCTATCTTCATCCCACCATGACATCCTTTGGTAGAAATCGTTTGCAGCAAGCACCGGACTAAGTTTCAGAGATTCAAATATATCCTCATGACGTTTATCTGGTAAGATTTTCTGTCCACCAAGATTTTGATGGAAGAGCTGATGATTCCGGGGTGAGATGTGAGTATTCCAACCCTCCCAAAGGCCAAATTTGGAGAGTCTGTGTTGCATTCTTCTGGGATTACCACCGACCCCCACGATCTTGCGATAATGTTAAAAGCTTCCTCACACAATGCATGTTGAGGCACACCCTGGATGATTATGGATGCAATTCTTTCAGTAAAGTTACCTTCCACGTCCCAGTTATTGACCTCTTTAAACCACGGCTGCCAAATCTCCTTCCCATTGTTCATGAACGCGACCTTTTCCGATGTATTCTCGAATTCAAGAAGCATCTTTAGGCCTCCCAAATACTTTAGCTGTATTGAAGGGCATCGCTCAACCTCCTGGAAAGCTTTCACGTTCATTAGAGCTTAGAAGTTTTCTACTTCCCCCACCAAGGTATTCTGCATGGCTTCTCTTGACTCCGGGCTTGATATCATTTTTAATACTTTCCTTGCAGGGGTCGGCCCATCGTCTACTTTGCTTGACTTACCAGATTCAATGTTTGCGGTTTGCCTTGTCCCCTTAACAACATCGACAAACGACCTGCCTTGTAGTCGCGTGTTCATTGCTGGTTCTGGTTGTACTCTACTTGTGGTTCGAAAGTTTCTTGTGCGATTCTCGTTCTCCTTCCGTTGGTATCGTGCAACATTGGCTTCAATCTTATGTGCTCCTATGTAAATCTCATTGAGCCGTTTTCTTCCATTCTTTTCGATTTTATTCATTACTAGACTAGATTGGTAGTCCTTCTCGATGTTTCCTCCACCGCCTCATCGATGCTTCGGACCTATACACGCGTCTGCGTTTTATCGGTTGCAGCTAATAGGCGGTCTTCATCTGACATTAGAGATGGTCCACATTTTGTATTACAACTAAATTTCTCCCCACCGACACGTAATTTGGAAGTAGTCGGTTGGAATATCCGTTTTTCACTCCGGTCCTTTTCTACTTCTTCTTTCGTTCCTCTTTTTTCTTCAATCGTTTCAGATTTTTGGGATAATACTGTGATCACGTTCAAGCTTTCGATCTACGCCCCTTCACTTTACCATATTTGACCTCTGACCTGTATCACCGCCTATTGTTTCCAAACTCCACTCTTTGTGTTTGTATATCGTCACAAATCCTAAACCCAATCGATCATCACAATCTCATTACCTGTCACCACTACCGTCGATCTATTCGATTTCAGGTATCGACCATCCTCCCCTGTCTCCTCCAATTATATCACCACCGCTTATTACCCTACAACAAAAAACCCTTGAACTTCAAACTATCGTCTTCTCAAAAAGAAAACGGAAAGACGAACTAGATGTGGGATAAAGTGGAGGAAGAGCAACCGGGCCTACAACGACGACGACGTCGGCCATGTGGTTGATAAGGGACAAAATTTTTTAAAATCCTTTCAAAATCAGTTCGGGATAAGTGGTTGATAAGTCACCAACAGCTGAGACTTCCCGATTTTGGCTCTGCTGGCTGGGATAGAGTGGGTTTTGGATGGTATTGAGCCGATTTCCTGCATGTCGTCCATGTCTTGCACTCTCCTGTCTTCGGGTGTCTTTGCTTTTTCAATTCTTCTCATA